TTCACTTGCTGATATTCCACTGTGAGCATAATTTGCTGTAGTATTCTCATTCACTAGCATGGCTTGAGTTATATAACAATTATCTCAAGGGGGAAAGGGTTCACATGTTGCTTGGCCATTCTCAACCCAATATTTGCTAGAGACGATACATCAAGTAAATCAAGAGTTGTCTAAAAAATAAAAAAAAAATTAAAATACATTCCATTAAACTGACATTTGGCCTCCAAATTTACATCCTTTCATAAATATGGAAATATTTTAGTTACACTCATATCCAAACTGTGGTTCACCTTTGGGTGTTTTGTTTTGGTTTTTTGTTTGTTTGGTTGGTTGATTTGGCTGATTTTTTATTTTGTTTTGTTTATTTTATTCCTTCAGTTTTGTACTGAAAAGGAATTTTCTTGGGCTGCATATAATATAGTTAATACACGTAGGAAAACTTTTTAAAATATTCCTTATTATAGTATTTTTTAGATTAGGATAAAAATAAAAGGTGGCCTATGAGCTGGACATAACTGATAAAAACAAAACATGCTTGGAGTTCTGTCTTTCCCAAGAAGGAGATAATTTATGAAATTTTCACCCAGAATTGCTCCCACTGGTCATCTAAAATGAACAAAAATATATATTTATCTGTTTTACAATTTTAAATCAATTAATCCTTGATGTCATTAAGAAGGTTTTATTTTTTATGGGCAATTTTTTGGTGCCTTACTGAAATACCTTTCATAGTGGGATTTGTAAAAATTTAAATATTTAGACTTTTCTGTAATTTTCCATAAAAATTTTTGTAAGTGAAATGACAATTTTTCATCACCTCTCCAAATAAAAACATGGCAAATATGCATAAAGAGAAACTTTATAGTCACATGTTAGGAATAAAGTAAATTTTATAAAATTGAAAATCTGAACTTCCATCTTAAAATGACAAAAAGTGAATTAGTGTATACTACTGTGGGTCAGCACCTTACTTAACTGGAAAACACTGAAGGAACTGCCATCACCAGGCAGGCATGCCAACCATTCATTGTAACAGAGGTATCAGTCAATGTGCTCAGACAAGAAAATGGGTACAGAAGGGTAAATGGAAAGGAAGTAATAAACTCTGGAATATCTATAGGATAGAACATTGCTCATTAATATAGGAATGGCTGTGTATGTATCTGTTAACCTACAGTCTGTCACTATAATGTAATAACTGAGAAAATCACCTGGAAAGGAAAAGAGGAAAGATTTTTTTTTTGGCCCAGAATTTCAGATACTCCACTGCTTTGAGCCTTTGGTAAGGCAGAACACCATGGTGTGGAGCTGGTGGTAGACCAAAGCTTCCCACCTGGAAGCAGCCAGGAAGCAAAGAGAGGAACCTTGCTCCGCTAAACCTTGGTTTCCTCTCAAACCCCAGTAAGCTATCAATCCTGCAATGTATCCATCCACTCAAGAGCTTAGAGCCTCATGAGACAATCAGATCTCAAGACCCTACCTATAGAGAGGCCTTCCTGTCCGTGTTATGATCCAGGAAGTTTGTATTTGTAATCTCATGGAAAAGTTATTGGAATTCTAGAGAGTTAATCCCAATCTACCACTTGTAGTGCAATGCACAGTGAAAATAAAAACTTAAGATATATTTATAATTATGGAGAGCCAAGGGGTCCTAAGTCCAGCCAGGATGAAGTTTCATCAGAACAAAGGTCCACCCAGGGCCTGACCTGAACTGTAATAATTCATGAAGAAAGGAGGTGCTTGAGGATGAGTGACTGTGAGGATGGCAGGAATATATGACAGCAGTGAGCTGAACTCTGTACAGGCCTGAAAGCACCTCTGGAATATGCAGAGAGAAGGATATGCAGAAAGAACCATTCTGCATAACACCATTGAGGTAGCATTTAAGTATCAGTACATAGAGATAGAGCCAGGTTGGGATCGAACTCACGACCTCACACTTGCCAGACAGACACTTAATGCTGCTGAGCTAAATCCCCAGTGGAGATAACTCCCTTAGTTGTGTAGGTGATCCTCCACACCGACCCTTAAACACTGAACAACTCTCCAACACAGGAGCCTTTGGGAAGCATTTAAAAATCAACCCCTAGGGCCAGGCACAGGGTCACACTCCTGTAATCCCAGTACTCAGCAGGCTGAAGCAGGAGGATCGTTGTAAGTTGGAGACCAGCCTGGTCTATAAAGTGAGCCCAAGGGCAGCCTGAACTGCATAGCAAGACTCAGCCTCAAGAAGACAAAAATAAAATAAGATTTAATGCCTAATTATGTGTAATTCGGGCAGTTCTCGAAAGCATTATGCAAACAGGCAGATAAGGGCAGGAGTGTGAGTAAACTGAGATAAAATTCTGGAAACTGAAGACTTTCTGGACATCAAAAGCCCAGTAAAGGTGACAGATGCACACCTTCTGCCTCTTTCTTGTGCCAAAGACCACTTATAAAGGTCTAGATTTAGATACCACTGTTGTATCCTCCCTGGGAACCCTTCGTATCGGTAATTTGGCCCTGCCTCCAATTGCCTAGAATGAGTGGTGAGAAGCCTTACATAAAAGTGACAGTGTACTACAGGGGAATCCAGGAAGGTCAGAACTGTCTGGGAGCTAAGACCCTGACAGTGTAAACGGGATTTCTAAAGACTCAGGGTATAGCAAGTGGGGATTATGAAAGCCTGCAAAAGAGGTTAGAACAAAGGCAGTAAATCTAAAAATAATTTTAAAAAATAAAAGTATTATATTCGTTTTTAAAAAAGAATACTGTTTGATTTCTGGGGTTGACAGCTTTATTGCTTTGGAAAAGGGGATACCAGGAGCCTGTGCCCTCCGCTGCCTCAGCTGTGGCTCTGTTCTCAGAGCACTGTGAAAAGGAGCTTTTCCAACACAGCTGAGTAAGCTAGCCCTTACACAGACTGATCCCCAATACCCTCCCAAACACCATGAGGGTGACCAATGAAACCAGTCTCAAAATAAATTTTGTTTTACTTTTCTCTAGCTTCTGACTGTCTAGTCTAAAACAACCATGAAATACACACAGTGAATCAATATTGTTAAATAACTCAAAGGAATGAAGTCCTGAAACACTCAAAAAGAGGAAATAAGTCCCATTTTCCTCTCACAGTAATCCTTAACAAAGACTGTGCCTTCTCCCTGGGAAGAAAATGATCCACCCTTTTCCTGGGCTTCTGATATGCACTTCTCATCTATTGATGCTTCTAAGGGGAAGAACTTTTTTCTTTGCCTCATCTACAGCATTTACCTGAGTAAAGTGGTAAGAATAACTGAGTATCGTCGAAAATAACCACAGCAGTTGAAAAGTTATTTTCATAGTAGACTTGTACATGTATCTTTCCTTGAGAGGTTTGTGTGGCTTATTGTTCAAGTATTTTTTTTGCAGAAGGTTGTGTTGCAGGCAGCTGAGTTAGTTAGAAATAGTATAGGCCTTGAGACAGGGCTGGGTCCTTGAAGGAGCCAGTGCAGAAGCCCAGATACCTTGCAACTATGGGGGAGACAGGTACCTCCTGCTGTGGGCCAGGCCTCAAGACAAAAGATCAAGCAAATGCACTCATATGATAAGGACCAATATTCTAAATAGTTCCCTACCACCCTGAGGAAGTCAGGAGTCACCACCCCGAGCCCCTTGGGATGAGTCACTGCTCTCTAAGAATGCTCCATTTCTACATGACTCGCTTCCCCATTTGTACCCAATTTAATCAGTTTTACCTGAACTTTTGATCTTATTGGTTAACCGTAGTTCTGTCCCACCTTATGTTCATCTGCCTTGTGAGTTCCCAGTCTTCCCCACCTTAAACCCGTCTCACCTCATGATTTTACTCGTCCCTAGAAAAGACAGAGTCCTTGGTACCCACTCAGGGCCCCTTCTGTCTGTCTCTCAGACAGAAGCTTTCTTTCTCTCAATAAATATATTCTACTCTTAGCCTCCATTGTTCCTAAAATTCATTCTTCAATTTTAGAGAACACGAACTCGTACTGGAAATAGTAGGTCAGAAGTTTCGTTCCCCTGTATCAATAGCAACTTTGCTAAGGTTGTTAAATGTGCAATTCAACTCATTTGTGCTTAGGGGAAATAATGGAGGTACATATGCCTGATTTGGGAGTGAGAGGGTTGAAGTCATAAAATAGATAATTTCAAGATGGCAGAGCAAAGAGAATTGGCCTTGTGACCACTTTAATATGTTGGTAAAGAATGGGAGCATGGTTTGGCAATTTCTAGAAAATTGTAGGTGAACTCAGCAGAAAAGTGAAAACTAAATAGGCACTTCAACTCTCATTATCTCCTTATTACAGGAAATTTTTACATGAGGAAAGTTGTTCAGCTCTCAGAATTCTTGGTCATACACACATTCCTTCAACACACCATGTAGAACAAAGAAAACTATGATTGTGGCCTGTAGGAAAGTTGAGAATGATGTGCAAACCTTCAGGTACAGGAGAAGAAGGAGCATTATAAAAGACCACGTCTAGTTCCAACATTATCTTGAGCTTTTATCCCAAAGTGAAATTCATCTCTGAATTATTAGAAGTAGTGGTAGTATCTTCTCAGACGAAACATAATCTAATTCGGCACAAACATGAGCAAACTGAAAAGTTTTATGTTAATAACAACTAGTGATTTATTGAGGTGGGGCCAAAAGTGTGTGGATGTGTGTTGAACATCCACGTTATGAGGTGATAACAGTTTATTTCTCAAGAAATTCATCAAATTGGTAAATTGAGATTGATCACATTTGAATATATCACACATAGATGAGATTCTCTCATCTATGAAACTGTTTTCATTCTTTCTAGAGTTTGGGGATCACTACTAAATTGAGTTCTGGGAGCTATATTCCCCAGACTTGTCTGTGCTTCAGACAGTAGATAATGTAAGTAACAATTTCAATCCTTCTGTGAACATGGAAGTAAACAAATGAGAAAGAATTCAAAAACTGTGTTCATCTACAAGATTACCTAAAGCAAAGAAAGAATTGAGGCTTCTAACAAACCATATGGATTTAGATGTTTATTTTTATCTTTAAAGGCAAAGATATATGAGCAGAAGTAATCCCTACCAATCTAGAAAGAATATAGAGGAAAACTTTTACAGGGAACTACTGAAGAAGGCTTGGGGTCCTCTTCTCTGGCCTATTACATTCCTTTCTCTGTGTCTCCCCAGAAGAACTCACAGTTAGCTAGCACCAATTCGTTCTGCTTTGAAATTTCACAAATTGAGAATGTGTTCTCCTGCCGAGTCAATCAAACATTTACTAATGACCAAGAATACCACTTGTTACACTGTGTAGTCATGAAAGCCTTGAGAAACTAACTATAGCAGAAGGACTTTGGTGAATGAGGCCCACGAGACAGATTCATTTACAAACAAGCAGAAAATACAGACAAATTTGCACTGAGTCTAATCTTTAAACAGAGAAATCCAAAGGGAAACAAAGTTCCATGTTTGAATGATAAATTCAATTATGGAAGTCTGGCTCTCAACTTCCATTCTGGCATTTTGCTGCCTATGAATACAGAGACTCTCTCTCCTTGCAATTTCCTTCTCCATTTGTGCCTTTCTCCTCTCCTGCTCCAGCTTATCTTCCAGATCTCTGATCTTCTCTTCGTACTCCTCCCTTAGCTGTGCTCTCACTCTCTCCAGCTCTGCTCTGCACTGTTCCTGCACCAAATGGATTTGCTTCTGAATCTGCTCCTCAGTCCTTTGGTACAGCTCACTGGTGTAGCATTCCCCATGGTTTTCCCTCACGATGCGCTGGACCAGGGTCAGCAGCTGGTTTCTCTGGTCCTCCTGCTCAGATCCCATTGCCCTGTTGTTGAAAGCACAGTAGCGACCATCAAACCTGTCTATCAGGTTTTGGACACGTTCTGGAGCATCCATGATGTAATCCCCGAGATCTATGCCTTCCAAATCATCTTTCCTAGTGAATAAGAGAATCGTGAATCTTCTGGCCCTGCATCCAAACATATTCAGGATCTTCTCCGTGGCTTTGCTCTCTTCCTCAGTGTAACGGCCAAGAGGGACCACCAGGACCAGAGCATGAGGCCCAGGGGAAGTCAGCTGGATGCAGCGGGCAATCTCCCTGCGTGTGTCAACGTCCTGGGCCTCGGTATCAAAAATACCAGGTGTGTCCACAACCACAATCTCTCTTTCATTCCATGTGCATATGCTTTTCTGACAGGCCTTGGTAATGGACTTGGATGCAATACCAGAAGAAAATGCTTTCTCTCCAAGAATGCTATTGCCTGTTGCACTTTTTCCTGCTCCAGTTTTTCCCAGTAAGACAATTCTCAGTTGAGAATTTCTGCAGTCTTGATTTCCAGACCCTGGGACAGGAACGAAACCAAAGACACAGCATTAGAATCTAACTCCAGTGTCTCATGCAGAATGCCCCTACCCCTGCCCTGCTCTGTTGCTGGTTATGAGCTTCTAACCACCATTACCACATGCACAAGATATATAGGCAGCTTCTGGTCTAATGGCCACCTTGCAGTACTTGGGCAAGTAGTCTGTCCTTTGATCTTCTATGTGCACTCTGTTCTCAGGATCACTCACTACTCTGACCTTTCAGTAGCCTTGTAATGCCACAGAAGAGGAAACAGAATGGTTTCAGATGAGAACTATAGGCTGCTGCTGGTGGTTCTTCCAAAGAGATGATATAGGAAATACTACAACTGACTTCAGGACATCTGCTGTGGGAGACTTATTCTCCCAATCTGTAGTCAAAACATAACTTTTGTTCTTCCCATCCAGTAGCAAGGGAGAAGAATTAACAACCAGTCACTATCCTAAGTCAGAGTTTCTCGTATTTGAGAACCAGAATTCCAGGATTTTTAAAAACTATATTTCTGAAAGTTCTAGTAATGAGAGTTCTGGATTCAGGAAGGGTCAGGTCACCTAAGGACAGGTGGAGGTAGGAATTCGCATCAGCATTTATTTTTTTTTTATTTAAGGAGAAAAAGAAAAAAAGCAGAAAAAGGGTACAAGTTATACAGATTTACAGAAAAAAATAAACAGTAGTAAATCACTAGTTAATGGAAATCTTAGAAATAGTTGTTCAATTTACAAAATTAAAGCTTATAGAGTGGACATTCCAACAGTTAGATTGCAAACAGTTCTGTTCCATGATCCAACAAAACTCAGTAATATCATTATCTCTCTTATACACTTAAATATACATGCAGTTATATCGTTTAGAGCACTTTCTTTTCCTCTCTTTTGTACAATGACAATTACACATTTTGGGTTTTATTGCTCCCACGATTCTTATTACTTTTTTGGAAGAGAGTAAAACCAAATGTGACATAACAGAACAGAGTCAGTCAAATCAAAAGGGTGGACATAATAGATAATGTAAAAGCATAATACAAGGTGATCAACAATGGTTACCATAATACCTCCCACTATCTCTAATAGAATTGCCTATATCATCAGTTATAATAAAATTGAACAAAACAGTAAAGAATGAAGCCAACAAAACTAAAACATTGGAGACATTACAGGTCTTCAAAAGTAGATAATAGTCAACCAGAATGGGCGTCATAATGAATCCCACTATCTTCACAGCTGTTGCCTAAACTTTCAAACCTGTACTATCAAACAAAACAGGATAGAGAACATCAGTCAAAACAAGATGGTGAGAGCAATACAGGGCTTCAAATCAAGATAATGGAAAGTCAAAGTGGGTTACTATAATATATCCTGTTATTTTTTATTTATTTTCCCTTAATTAAGAGGATAAAAATAAAAAAGTAAATAATAAAATGGAGATTGAGATAAAAGAGGGCATGACAGCAAAACAGCGCAGATCAAAATATAACCATTTAAGCAAAATAGTGTTTCACCACAAGATAATCCCGACATAAAAGTAGTTACCATATTTTCTCCTTCCTTGAAATCTTTGAGTATAACTTCGTATACTGTAGCATCAAATATATCAAAACAATGTAAAATCATTTAAGAGGATAAAGTATTACAGGGTATTTAGAATCAACTAACAGAAAATGAACAATGATTTTTGTATAATCTCCTTGTCTATAAAAGTTTTTGCTTATACTATCACATATAATAAAATCCAATAAGATACAACCTGTTTAGACCAATGGAGACAGAAGAACAAAAGCTTGATGAGACTTCAAAACAAGATGATACTAAATCAGTATTACCTATTATGACATCATTTTCTCCAAAATAGCTGTTCCTATCACCCAATCTTCTCTGCCTCATTTCTGTTGAGCTCTTTTTCTGTCATTAGTTGTCAGTTTGTCTTTTTCATTTTGTTTCCTGCTCCATTCGTTGTGGCCTCTCTGCCACTATTTCTGGATTCTTTGTAGTTTTCTTTTTTAGAATATACTGCAGTATTCTCTGAGAGTTGAATTGGTGGTTGCATATTCCCCTAGTTCCTCTTTATCCTGGAAGCACCTTGTTTTTCCATCAATTTCCAGGGATAGTTTTGCGGGATATATCAATCTTGGCTGGAGGTTATTATCTTTCAAAGCTTGAATTATTTCCCCCCACGCTCTTCATGATTTGATGGCTTGTGCAAGAAGTCTGCTGTAATTCTGATGGGTGTTCCCTTGTAAGTGATCTGTTTCTTGTCTCTGATGGCTTTTAATATTCTGTTCTTGTATTGGATTTCTGGAATTTTGATTATTATATGCCTAGGTGTAGCTCTGTTTGGGTTGTAGGTGGCTGGGGTCCTGTATGCTTCATACAACTGAGTATCTTTAACTTTTGCTAAATTAGGAAAATTCTCCTGGATTATTTCTGTGAGTAGCTTTTGTAGTTCATTTGTTTGTATCCCTACTTCTTCTTTTATGTTCTTAATTCTTAAGTTATAGATCCTCTTATCATCTTCTAGTCTTTGTATTATTGCTGTTTCTTTCTTTGTTATTTTTAAGAAGTTTTTCATTTCATGCTCACATATTACAAATCTGCCCTCCAGTTCAGATAATCTGTCCTTAGTTTTTTTCAAGCTGTTATGCCAGTTTTTGATAGAGTTTTTAGTTTCCTGGTAATCTCTTTGAACCTGTTTCACGTATTCTATGCTTTCTCTGTTTTCTCCATCAAACAATTCTCCCCTCTTTTTCTGTTCTTCCATTCCACCATCTGTTTTTTCTTGGGTAGTACTTAGCATTTCTCTAACTATTCTGCCTATGTCTAGCTTCAGGTCATTAATAACTTCATTCCTGAACTCGTCTATGAGGCTCTGGAGATAGCGCTTTATATCTATTGGTACTGTGTCTGCTATTGCCTCTTTCTCAGGATTGGGGGCCAAGGAGCCTTTCTTGTTGCTCCCTCTTCCCATATTCTTTGTTCCTTATATATGCAAGCATATATAGGAGGCCCAGCTTCCTTCCCTGTCAGACACAGTCTGATTGAATTGTGCTGGCTAGGTGTTTCCACCCACTGCAGCACACCAGGAAGTTGCAGACCAGGCAGCCTATGCAGGGCCTGCCCCTCCAGGTCAACCCACCTTCAAGCGCTAGGACCTGGGTTGTGCTAGCCTACTGGGTCTCAGCTAGCAGTGTCACATGTGCTAGGCACTGCTCACCAATCCTGCTTGAGAGGGCGATATTTGACTGAAGTCACTACAGCGCCCTGTTCCCGCAAGTCTGCCTGTTCCCAGAATGTCCTCTGTTGGAGTCTCCTAGACAGTGGAAGAGTCCCAGTTTCTCTCACTCACTGTAGGTCGATGCACAGCTCCCTGCCCATCCTGCTTTCAACTCTGTTTACCGATTCCCGTTCTCAGAGCTTTCATGCATCTCTCTCTCCCTGCCGAGCTGATGCAGATGCAGCAGCGGCGTCAGGAAATCCAAATCACGGCTTCCAATGGCGCAGGCTCCAGCTTCCACACTGAGGCTTTTCTGTTCTTGTTATAGCACCAGGATTGCGTTCCCAGTTGGTTTCTCTCAGCCCAGTTCATTCTTGGGTCAGCAGGGCATATCTCCTCTTGCTTATGATTCCTTACTCCGCACTATTCCTGAATTCTAAGCTGGGTCTTCCAGAGAGCCTCCGTAGCTGCTGCTATCTGTCCGCCATGTTCTCCAAAGTCCCCTGCATCAGCATTTAACTGACATTACAGTGGCAGATCCTTTAGGGATTTCCTGAGGGCAGTGGTTAGTCAGCCAAAGGGAAGAGGAATAGGAAATTCATGGCAGGTGAACTGAAAAAGGTTATTATGGCATCTTCAGTGCTGCCACAACTTGCCAATGTTGAGAGTGTTTAGGACACAGTCCACTGTGTAGATTGCAAATTCAGCCCTAAATCATCCCCCTCCCTGTAGTGTGCCCCTTTAAGATGTGGATTTTGCAACTCTTCCCATTAAAATGCAACCCAAGAGCCATGTGACTTGCTTTGAGTGATAAAGCAGTAGAAAGCCTGATGTAAGCAAAGACTCCAAAGCTCTTATGCACTGTGGCACCAAGACAACTACATAATGATAACCACCAGACCAGTTATTGTGACCACCCGGACAGCCTACCCAAGAGCCTGTTACCTACACCCATGTCCACAAGGCGATGGAGATTATTGGGTTACACCCTGAACTACAGGTTACCACAGATGCATGGGCAGGAGCGGAGATTACAAGAGGTGGCTCAGACCCATAGACTGCTCTGCTGACCCATAGAGTCTGGAGCATCTACATGGTTTATGTTTGAAACTACTACACTGTGAGATAGTTTGCCAAATCAGCAAAGGATTAACTGATGTAATCTATTTCCAGAGGTACAGGAGTAATGGGGGGTTATGTGACCAGCTAGGTACATCACCCTGTTTAATCTTTTGGTCATCATGAGGCCACCAGGAGCAGGGAGATTACAGATCAGGCTGAGGGCTCAATGACTCCTATTTCCCTCCTACCCAATCCTTTTCCAGACTGAAGAGAAAGGCAGGAAAGCACCCGGAGAAACCATGATTGGCTGTGCTCCTGTGTTCACATTGCAGGAAGCTGAGAGTAAGAAATTGCTGGCCTCTGCTGGCCCAGAGGCTGTTTTAATGTTCTCTCTCCCATTTAGCTGGTGCAGCTACACCAGAAGGAGAAAGTGCGGAGAGTGAAGAGAAGCAAAGGAACAGGGTAAATGGAGAGGAATGAGGCACAGGACCGGATGGTCTTCTTTTTGCTCAGCTGCCTGTCCTCTTCTCTGCAGCCTAGCTTGGTCACTTCTCACCATACCTGATTTACAGAGGTAAAAACTCTCACCGTCATATGGGGCTGCCATTGTGGTTTGATTCCTGTAGATAAAGAAACATAACCGTGTCATCTTAAGGAAATGAACAGTAACAGTAACTTGTTTGGGCGGATTTTTGTTGTTGTTGCTTTGCTTTGTCTTTTTCAGACAGGGCCTCGCTAGGCAGTCCAAGCTGGACTTGAGCTCTCTTTGTAGCCCAGGCTGGTCTCAAACTGGCAACGATCCTTCTGCCTCAGCCTCCTGAGTGCTGGGATTACAAGCATGCCCCACTATGACCAGCTCGGACAGTAACTTGAAATTCTGACCTCCTACATAGACAACAGATTCTTTTTTGGCCTAAACTTCCTACTTTGATTCCCCTACTTTATCTGCCAAAATTGTCCTTGATTCTCCATTTTGGGGCTGTTTCTTTTTCTTTGCACATACAAGAATGTGGTCACACTTCCAGGCACTGGTTCTGGCCCCTGGTTTCTCTTTATCAAGGGACTCAAGATTGTGGTGCCTTTTACAGGTGATCTGTAGCCTCCCTTTTCCTTGAAGGTCCAAACTTTTGTGGACATCTCAAGCAACCCTTCACTACTTTACTGCTGCCACCACAATCACTCATCTCAATTAATGGGATCACCATGCAGCTGTGGCTTCTGCTGAACCTTGGAATCATTTACAGCTCTTCCTTCTTATTCTCATCAGCCCATCACCAAGTCCTCTAGATTCCAGTACCAAAAATCTCAAATTATGCTTCTCCATCTTCATGCCAGTTTAGACCACTGTCACAGCTTCCTCTTAGTGAGTTATTTTGCCTTCAGCCCATCAGACATCACTTTTTTTATTTTAATTTTTGGTGTTGGGGGTTACCAGGGATCAAACTCACAACCTCACACTTGCCAGGCAGGTGCTTGTGCTGCTCAGCTATATCCCTGGCCCCATCAGACATTACTTTAAAACTAAAAATTTATAGGGTTTTTTTGGAGGAGGGTCTTTAGATTCTCTTGTGGCTTCCTATTGCCTTTAAAAAATAGTTTAAATCTTTGCTGGTTCAGCTACAAATAGTAAATGTATTATGTTACATAAATAGAATCAAGGAGTAAAAAGCACATGTTCTTTGCCATGGAGGCAGAAAAAACTTCAGCAAAATTTGACAATCCTTAATGACACAAGCCCCGAAGGAACTAGTTTTATGAGGCTCTTCCTCAATAAAATAAGGGCTTTATATGACAAACTCACAGCTAATGTACTGAATGGGGGAAAGGTAAAAATTTTCCTCTAAAATAAGGAAGGAAATGAAGTTGTCTACTATCACTTCTCAAAATAACAAAAGACACAGGATAGTCAAAAGAAATCTAGCAAGGCTAGAACTATTAAAATACCCATATTAAAAATGTACACTACCCAACCATATAAACAAAAACTATGATACTGGCATAAAATCAGATGCATAAACCAGTGCAACACAGCAGAGGACACAGAAACCTAAAACTACTATCATCCAATTCTTGATGAAAGGGCCAAAAACATGTTGGAGAAAAAACAGCTCCTTTAACAAATGGTTCTGGAAAAACTGAGAATTCATACGCAAAAGATGAAAACTATATCCCTATCTCTTATCCTCTGCAAAAATTATTTCAAAGAAAAGACGTGAGTATCAGACCTAACTGGAAGAAAATAGGGGCAACCCTTCAAGACTTCCTGAATGAGACTTCCGTAGCACAAGAAATAGTAGAAGAATTGACAAATGGAGTTAAATCAAATTAAGAAGTTTCTGCTCAGCAAAGGAAATAATTAACCAAGTGAGGAGACAGTCTACAGAACGTGAGGATGTTTACCAGCTACTCTTCCTTTTTTTAAAAAAATTTTTTTTATTTTTAAAAAGGAAAACAATCAAGGGTAGAAATAATACAGAATTTCAAAAAAACAGCAGTAAGAAATCAACACTAGTTAGTATATTACTCATTATCTTAGAAGTAGTTGCTCGAGTTACAAAATCAAAGCATAAAAAAATGAACAGACAATCAAGCTATGACAGCATGGACTATTCTTTTTAATGAACTAACAGAGAATTAGTATTGGTATCTATCTTGCACACTTATATGTACAGTTATTCGTGTATACCTATAAGTTGTTCTTTCCTTTTGAGCATCTTTCTCCCTTTTATTATTACAATATCTATTGTACATTTTGGATCTTATTGTTCTTTCAGGTTTTAATTATTGTTATTTATTTTTAACACTAGAAAGACAATATGATGTTTACAAACATGAGTCTGATTTATTTCACTTACGAGTATATCAGCTACTCTTCCAACAGAGGATTAGTAGAAGAGGATGGGAGCAAGGGGAAGGGGAGACCTGGGGGAGAAATGATCCAAATATGTCATACGTATGAAAGAATCTGCCAAAATGAAACCCATGGATCAGAGGAACTAATATGCATTCATGAAATGAAACAGAAGAAGAATGTAAGTAATGTAAGTCCATGCAACGGTCCATAAGCCCCTGCATAACTAATTTCTTTTTCATAAGGCGTTAACTACAATGGCCTCCTCAAATGCACCAGAATCCTTTAAGCCACTTCCTTTAACGACCTTAAGCTACTTCTTTTAAGGACATCTCCCCGCTTTAGAGCACCCCTATCCTAGTCTGGCACCCCGCTTATTCTTGCCAGTCCTCCAGCCTCTGCTTCTCCGAGAGCTCTTCACCAACACCTCCCTCCAGCACCAGCACTGACCCAGGACATTAGGTGCTGGTGCGGTCACCTGCACAGGCTCTGATGGCACTCTGGGGGTTCCTAATAAGACACACGTTGCAGTAAATTGTTATCTGTTGGATGGCTTACTATCTCCCTTTAGCCTGGAAGCTTGGTGTTGGGAGGACACCGTGTCTTGTGTCTCCATTTTTCCCTTGGAATCAAGTACAATACTGGACAAAGAGAGGTTTCCAATAAATATTTGTTAAATGAATGAATTGATAAACAGCCTCTCTGTCTTGTTTCACTTTTCTTGCCAAGCCCATGACTGATCTGTGAAAACAACGATTGTTTCCTTCTTAATCAACACTCAGTGGCATTCACATTTAAGGTTTTCTTTCATTGCTACCCCCAAATGTTTTGAAGAACCCTCCCTGGAGCAGACTTTGACTGGACAGGCTGAAAAGGTTCCTAGTAAAGAACAAGACTGCCAGTTAGGAAGCACGAAATACAAACTGTAAACACAAAGCTGTACATTTCTTTGTAAGGAAAGGTTATTTCTATTTTCTTTAGGAATAAAGCTTTAGGAAATAGCTTCTGAGAAACCAGGAAGAGAAAGAATAACATTTTTTAAAAGTCAACTTTGATCACAAAGTGGTATTAAGGGAAGAAACAGGAAAACGGAGGGTCTCTGGTGTTTCCTAAAGCCCCTTCTTCCAACAGAGTAGTTCTTTAATGCTACTCTTCCAATCCTAATTCAAATGCAAAGCCAGGAGGTACCAACCTCAAGTGGCTCAGCTCAGACTGCCTGGAGAACAAGCACCCATTGGTTCCAGCTTCTCCTGAACTATAGTCACAGATGGTAGCATTTCTCTCCTCCTACCTTCTAAGAGAGAGCTCAGCTTGAGGTGAACTCAGGAAAGAGTTGTCTCTGAAGAGGCAGATTTCCTAGAGGGGCAGCTCTCAGTGAATGGTTAATGAGGTAATGAAACCTCAGACTGCAGAGCCTGTGATCCTGACCCGTTCTGGTCTAGGGGGATTGTATGCTGTGCTGGGCCCTTATGGGTCCTGATGCTTTTACCGCCACCACCTCCTCAGAGCAAATTCTGTGAAACTAACTCTATCCCTCACTCAACTAACTCTATCCCAGGAATATGGAATTCATTTTTAAATTCTATAAACAGCTCAGAAATAATTTATTTGTAAAATATGTATCTTGTAAGTGATAGCACTAAACGAGACATTAATTTGAAGGCTTAGCATTCAAGAAAGATTGAAATCTAAAATCAGCAAAGACAGGAAACAGGAACCAGCACAAAACTTATTCTGAGAGCAAGTTTTCTTGGAGGTTTAGCATAGAGAGTTAGCAGAAAGCCAAATCCTCTCCACCAAATTGGATAATCTCTACCTACACAACCATCCCTAATCCCTTACCTGCAAAGTCTGTGTCCTGCAGTCTTCTATGCTTTTTTAAGTACTGCTAAACCAGGACTTCAAGCAAGATGATCACAGAGGAAGTGAGGGGAGGGACCATCGAAACTTGCTCAAGGGACCCGCCCATTTTATCCTCCAACTCCACTAAGCTTCTGCAGTGAGTGTTGTATCACAAGCCACACAGAATTACTGAGCATTTGACACTTAATAGCTGTGATTGCAGAACTGAATCTTTTTTTGGGGAGAGGGGTCCTGGGATTGAACTCATGACCTTGCACTTGCAAGTCAGGTGCTTATGCTCCTGAGCTAAATCCCCAGCCCTTGCAGAACTGAATCTTATGTCTTATTTTAATTCATTTAAAGTTAAGTAGCCACATACACCTAATGGCTACAGAGACTCTACATGTGTCATACTGTGCAATTCTTGGGGGGGGGGGACAGAAGATCAAAATTCAGAGGCTTGCTAGCTACTCTGGAGGAGCTGTGAATTCCTGGATCCACTGGGACAACAGGATACCCAACAGACTTTAGCTCCTAGAGCAACAGGCCTATATTGGTGTAGGCAGCTAGCTCTTCTCCTTCTTTCCTGATTGATATAAGGAAGGGATAGAGATGCTATTTCCAGGATGTATCCTTTAAGTCACCTGCCAGAAACAAAGGAGAAATGACCTTGTCTTGACTAAGTGGGATGGACCCAAGGTTGTCCTGTGAGAGAGCGGTAGACCCATTTAAAACTCTGCCACTCAGACTGCAGCCCTTCCAGGGGGAGAACCAGCAGTGTCTCCTGAGATCCATACCATGTTGGAACTTAGGACTCTGGGAAGCCAAGCAAGCACCTCTCCCTGGTAAGC